GAGGCCCTGGATAGAAAATGCCTCATGAGGAACCATGAGGGCTGACTCCTTCTGCCATGTTTCCTGGTCACAGGGCTCCTTGAAGGTGGCCTGACCAAAAAGGAGGCCTGGGGAGAGCCTAGGTGGCCAAGGGCAGAGCCTTCTGTCCTCTGGGTATAACGTGTGGCCACACACTCCTTACTGGTGTGGACTGCAGGGTTCCCCTCAGAAAATGGCCAGGCTGATGTTTACATTCACATTAATCTTAGGTGAGGAAGTTTGTTTGTTTGTTTTGTTTTTGTTTTCTTTTGGAGGGGCAGGTACTGGGGCATCAAACCCAGGAGTACTCTACCATGGAGCTACATCCTATCCCTTTCTATTGTTTATTTTGAAGCACGTTCTCAGCAAGTTCCTTGAACTGGGCTCAAACCTGTGATTCTTCTGCTTTAGTCTCCCGAGTCACTGTGATGCCAGGCATGTGGCCCTGCACTTGGTGGGAAGCTGTTTTGTGATCACATTCCAGTTGGGAACTTAGAATCTGCTTTTTCCTTTCCTCCTTTCTTCTCCTCCTTTCCTTCTTCCCTCTTCTCCTCTCCCTCCCCACTAGGAGTCTTCCATGTGGCTCATTACTTTTCCTTGCTATGTAGACAGTGAGTGGTGTTGTCAGTCCCTGTCATCTGGTGCCAGTTTCTAACCCACAGGTGCCCGATGGGCTTGTATGGGATGTAGACCTGGGGACTTCGCTGGGGCTGCAGATATGGTACACAGGCCAAGCAGACATTAACTTAGCTAAGAGACTGAGTCTGAAAAGGACTTATAATTAAGAACTCGGAAGTCACCAGATCAGGGGAAAGCCACTGCCCAAATAATTTGTTCAGAAAGAAATTTATACTTCACAGAGAATTCTCTGGCCATTGCCTATAGAGCATAGGGGGCGGTGAAGTATCTGGTATTTGAGAATCTCGGCTTGGGCTCTGTGTTGTCAAGGATGAAGTTTGTGAGGGGGATTAGAAGGAGTGTACCATTGTGAGCCCTTTGAATGACCTAGGACCCCCAGATTCAGGAAGGGCCTGGTTTCCCCAGCACAAGCATCAGTGGTGGCCTCAAGACAAGGGCTTCTGCAGGGAATAGAAATCCAGGTGCCATCCATCTTTAAGGGTTGAGGTTGACTGTGGGACTGAAGGGGACTTGAACAGGGGTCAGGGTAAGATTAGGGCTGCCATGGGTCCAAGTGTGAGCTTGGTGGATGTGAGTTAAATTAAAAGACATGGTGGATATTGAAGGCCCCTGTGTGCCCGACTCCTCACATGTACATTGAGGTGAGCATGTTTTCACTTCATCTTCTCCACAGCCCTGTGACAGACAGGAGGAGGTCCTTCAGGACAGGAAACTGAGGTACAGGAACTTAAGGAATTCACCCAGGGGTGCATGTGGATGAAGCTGTGTGCCTCAAACCTGAGTGCATGAGGTGCCAAGCTGGGCTTAGAATGAATGCTTCTCACCAACGAATGTCCCAGGGTTTTGATGCGCAGGCTATGGCTCAGTAGAACTGGGGCGGAGGTCACTGTTCTCCTGCTCCCCACACCTCAGGCCCCCATGGTGCAGCATGGCACCAAGCTTCTTGCAGAAGGGCCTCCTGAACTGTGTTTTTGCTCATAGGACTGAGCACCTCTTGCTTCTTCACCATCATTGCTCAGTTTCTGAGCAGCAGCCTCTGTCAGCAGCACTCACTGAACACATCCCCTATAAAGCCTAGTGATGATACAATGCAGTAGTGGCATTATTCCCCTCTCCACAGAAGAAGAAGCAAAGGCTTGGAAAGCTGGTTGGGTTCCCCAAGTCACAGAGGAGTGCTGGCCTTGCATATAAGGCCAAAGTCTGGGCCTGAGCATGCCACACAGAGCCAAGTCTTCCTAAAAGGCAGGGGTCTTCCTAAGATTTTGCATAGGTCTTAGAGGGTAACAGACTTTCTTCATAAGGGCCCAGTGGGTCAGGAGGGAGAAAGCACAACTTTCCCTAGCTGGAGCTGAGCTAGTTCTTCCTTCCTACCTTTCCCTGCCCCAGATACTACAGCCAGAAGCGAGAAATCCTTCTATAACTAGCATTTCCATGAGGTGCATGTACTGGACTTGATTGCCTTTGAGCCTGCAATCCCTCCATAAATCTCCCCTGCAGTGAGCTCTTTGAGATACTTTTGTGAAGCATATATACATATATATGTATGTATGTACACACACACACTTTCATAAGTACAACTTTAACATAGATTATCAACCTATCTAACCTCACTACCCAACAATATTTCCCCATTCTTTCTAGGTCTGTTGCATTTGCATTTGGACTGTTCCTTTCTCTCATGGCTTGTGTCTAGAAGTCTTCAAAAAGCCTCATGGGGCTTTTCAGGGTGGCTGGATCTCGAGTGCAGGATGCTGGGGTCAAGGGGGTGTGATGACTAGTTAGCCCACTGATTGGTTTGGCATAGTTCTGGGTAGAATTAAGAGTACTCCACCCTGGGAGTGAGTGCCACCTGCCCTAGAGGACAGAAGGAGGGCCCTGCTTGTCCTGTGCTGTTGCTGCTTTGTTTGTTCACTACTTTACTGTCTCCTGTCCCTATGATCGGTTTCTTCTCTACCATGGGCCACTCTGCCTTGGAACCAGCTGAGCATGGACTGAAACCTCTGCAAACTGTGAGCTGAAATAAACCTTTCCTCCTTTATCTTTTGGTGTTGGGTATTTTGTTCAGGCAATGAGAAAAAGCAGCTACATCTTATTTGTCTAGTAGAAGCAGCCATGGAAGGGAACTGTTGGACTGGAACTCAGAGGTTCTAAGTGGCTTTGATCATGACTGTCCTTTGCTAGTTTTGTCAGTCTGGGTGCATGTGTTCAGACCCTCTGAATCTCACTTTCCTCATCCATAAAATGGGAATGCTAACAACATAGATCTCCTGAGTCTTTTTTAAAAAAGAATAGAAAAATAATAGATAAGATATTAGAAACTTTTGGATGCTACTAGAGGCTATACTCATAAGTGAAATAAATCAGACCCACATGTACAAACATCATATTTTCTTCCTAGTGTAAGAATCCAGAAGAGTAAATAAAATCTGAAAGGTACAAAAGATATAGTAAAAGGAAAAACTCTTGAGGTTTTTGCAAAGATTAAATTTAATTCTGTGAAAGTGGATAGGATACGTTAGATCGCCAAGGATCTTCATTTTTTTTCTGAATAGTAGGAAACAGTAACTAGAACAAGACTTGGTTCTCTTTGATTCTCATGATATGATGTAGCCTCCCCGAGACAACGAGCTGTCATTTCTGCAAAACTGCTAATTGCCAAATCAGCCTGCAGCAGTAGGCAGGGTTGGACTGTGTTTCCTCTCGTATCATTTAGGCTTTTTGTTTGGTTTAATTTTTGCGAATGCCTCCAGCTCTCTGCAGGCCCTTACACTAGCAGGTCTGTCCTTTCTGTGTCTAATTCATTCCTGTTAACTTGCTTGGTCAGCATAACTTCCCGTCTCCTTGCTGTGTTTCAGGAGCACACCTGTCTGGAAGAGGCATATACTGTATTTACTTTAACTGGGCTTCATTTGGCAAGGAAGTCTGGAATTTCAGCTCTGGAGGAAAAACAGCTTTGATTACACTGCTCTTGAGTACTGTACGCATTCTGTGGTGTGTCCCTTGTCTAGTAAATAGGAAATGCTCCTGCAGAAAGCCAAGGTGTAAGTAACAGAGGGTCCGGGAGAGGTGGGTGGCCCTGGCTCCCTCTGCTCTACACAGCACCTCCTTCAGCTGAAAGCCATGCCCTGCATTAGCAGTCAGCCACCCTTGAGCATGACCCAGTGGGCAGGTTATCTTCAGTGGGGGTCTCCAAAGGAACACTAAGTTCCAATTCCTTGAGAGCACAAAATCTGCTTCCCAGCCAGGCATTGTGACCTGGGACACTGCTTTTGTCTATATCACGGTCTTCACTTTGACTCCAGCAACAGCCTCTTGGCAGGTCTCCTGGCCTCAGCCTTTGCCTCCCTCTGTGTACACCTACTCATTCCACTGATTTATTTAAAATTCCTTGATGGCTCCCTGCTTGTCTTAGGCTGCGTGAGACATGGCCAGGGTCTCCTCTTCTCATAGGCCTCTTGTTGTCTATGCCCTATCACTGTAAACTTTTGCAGTTTCATTAACTCATTAATTTGTGTGTTCATTCTGGTACTTATGAGACATTGTGCTGAGCCCAGGGGATTCAATTATATATAAAAATGTGGCTCAACTTCCAGGGAGCCTTAGGTCTGAGGTGAAGACCAATAATCAAATGATCACCTGCACACGGCTCAGGATAATGTGAGCCGTGAGGAGAGGTGATGTGAGATAACTTGGAGGACAAGGCTGTAGGATGTGGTGATCTAACCTCACTAGGGACTCACACAGCTCCTCCCAAAGTGCCTTGCAAACAAGGGGCTGAAGGGGACACCACGGTGGACCAAGCAAGGAGCAAAGCCCTCTGGCAGGAGGGAAAGTATGTTGGAGGAATTAAGGGAGAAGACTCACTGGGCCAAAGCACAGAGAGCACCAAGGGAAGGGAAAAGCAGGGATGGAGAAGGCAAGGGAACCAGGCAGGGCCTGAGGGCCACTGTGATGGTTGAATTTATCCTGAGAGCAACAACAAGTCCTTGGAATGAATGCATAATGTGATGGTATAATCAGAAATATACCTTGAAGAGTATATTTGGATGGGGTGAAGAATGGACTGGGGGGGCTAAAGAAAGTTGGGGATTTATTGGAGTAGTTAAGGCAAGAGAGGTTAGCAGCTTAGACCAGGTGATGGCAATACAATGAAAGCAATAGATACTTTTGATAGGTAATTGGCAGACATTTTTGTTATGAAAAGTCACAGGCATTTTTTGATTGGTGATTAACCATTTCAATCAATAGGATTCACTGACAGGTTGGATATGGGATGGGTAAATTAAGAGAGCTATGACAGTGTGAACTCAGCATCCAGTGTGTTCCAAAGAGCTAGGTCTTACCTGTGAGGGTGGCCCTGGTGGTGGGACCAAAGCCCTTGGGGACCAGCATCTCATGGTACTGCTCCCCTGCTAGTGTGCTGTACACGACCTTGTACTCCTGAACCTCTGCCTCACTGTTATCCCACTCCAGGTCAAGGCTGGTTGCTGTGCGGGAACCAACTCGCAGATTCTTGGGAGCATCAATCTCTAAAAATAGACAGACATCACCAACACCGAACATAGTAAGGTGCATCTGCAGTGCATCTTGAATTTTAACAGCCTGTGGCTGAGAGCCCACTCCTAACCCTCTGCTTCATGTTTCAGTGTGCTTGGCCCTAGCTTTTACTCTGCCATTACAAACTCCTCGGCCAGGTCAGAGGGTTTCATATGGGAAGTAGACATCAATACACTTTGTGTTTCCACCATAGTCATTCAAGAGTTTCAGTAGTGTGCTGGAAACTTGAAAATGAACAAGTTAACATTATACCCTTAAGAACAAAAAAAAGAAAACCTTGATAGGAGAAAATTAGGGATAATGCTCATGTGATTTCAATAGAATAGAACAATGTGAAATTTGAACATAAAGCTAAAAGGACATATTTGATTTCATGATGTCTTCTGGATTTACCTATGTGGACACAGCTGGAAGGTCATCAGATATAAGTGGAAGATGAGGTAGGGAGGAAGAATATGGGCTCTGCAGCCGGGCCTGAGTTTGACCCTCAGCTCTGAGCCTTGCAGTAATGGGATGACAGACATGTTTTTCACTCTCATGAGGATTTGCCCCTACACAACAGGGGCAAATAATACTGATTGATAGTCCACATTGCTGAAGAGATTATACAATATATGTCAAGGTTGCCTGGTACAGAAATAGATGTCCAAGTCCTGGGCTGGCTCCTAGTGGCCTCTTAAACTTTTCCTAAGTTTCAGCCATCTGACCCCCAAAGATGCTCTTAGGGTTCCCAGGTTTTCAATGCAATGAAGGGCATATCAGCATTGGGCTCTTGCCTACCACCCAAAGGAAGTTGCTACTCTCCCCTAGGACTGGTGATCTCCTTAGGCTCACTGGGGAAAGAAAGACATAAACAACTTGTGAAATAAGGTGCTGCCCTGAAAATCTGTTGCTTCAAGAGTTCCAAACAGTTCTTGTCTTTCAGACATGCATTTAATTTGGAGTGGAACAGCCATTTGTTCCAAGAAAACCTTGAATGGACTGTTGTAATTTGCAAAAGCAAAGCGAGTATCTGTCAATTGTTCTTGGGAAGAGGAGAATGCTGTGAATCAATCTGAAAGCAGAGGCTTGTGTGTGTTAGAAGCATTCTGTTTGGTGATGTAAATTGGGTGAATCTTTTAGCAGATTTCTCTCTCTCTCTCTCTCTCTCTCTCTCTCTCTCTCTCTCTCTCGGCAGAACCAGGAATTGAACTCAGGCCCTTACACTTGCCAGGCAAGTGCTTATTCTACCGAGCCATCTCCCCGGCCCCTCAGATTTATATCTTGGCAGCTTATATTTCTGGGAAGCACTTCTTCATTTAGTGTACTTTAGTGTGCTGGATCCTGTACATTCTTGGTGTGCTCCATACATTATGTCTCTAGCCACTGGGCAGAGAGGCAGGTGCAGGGCCTTGCAGAGGCCTCAGCACTACTCTGAATCTCAGGCAGGAAAAAGGCTGGATCCTGGCTGGGCAGGGGTGTGTGGTCAGAGATCAGCTAAAGTGAAAGCAATTGAAGGTATGACTAGGGTTAAAGCTGAGACTTACACCTCTTCAGAACTAATGGCTTTTGTATAAGGACACAAAGTAGAATCACTACCAATGGTTTTGGGGGTTTTGCCCACAGGTCTTGTACCCTGTAGGTCAGGGCAGTATTTTTTCTGAGAGGGGCTGGACACTTCAAATGCCAGTAACCCTAAGAGGCCATTACCAGAATACAGGCTTGGAAGGTGAGTCTCAGAACGGGGGTGAGGAGAAACGATGGGCTCTTGGGGTCTAGAAACCTGATGTCATAGAGAGGCATTTGAAGGACACCCCCTAGACTGGCACTAAGCTGGTCTGTGTAAAATGCAAGTAGTCCAGGATGAAGCAAAGACCCCAGGAGTTGTAAGCTCTGGCAATAGCCATATCTACTCTCTAAACCATAGGCTAGATCACACAATTTTCCTGCTCACTAACTCTCCTGTTCTCTGTATTATGCACTGCTGGTGATAGCCTGTGGGGCCCTGAATGAGTTGGTTCCGTCTGGTTCTCTGACATCACCTCCTAGTATTTCTACCCCTCCCTCTTCATGGCCCAGCTGAGCTGCCTTTTCCCTACTCTTGAAACACATTAGGCTAATTCTTACCTCAGGACGTTTCTTTGCACTACTCTCCATTTGCTTCAACTGCTGTTCTCTTGCTCCTCCTGTGATTTAGGTCACTTAGGTCTTAGTTAAAATGTAGTTTCCTAAGGTCTTTCCAAATTCCTAAATCCAACGGAGCTTCCCTTTATCTTACCCATTTCTCTTTTCATCATATTTAAATGTCGTATTTTTCTTTTCATTGTCCAATTTCCCCCACTAGAACGTCATTCATATATACCTGGATTTTGTTTATCTTGCTTGTTTTATAGCCTCAGTGCCTACAACAGTACTTAGACCAGAAGTTTAATAATCCACGCTAGTGACCAGATGAACGTTACCTCTTCTCTGTTTTATGTGTTATCACAAAGCCTCTAGAAAAGTCTTGTTACCACACAGTTTTGAGCTGTGGAGTTTTGAGGATGACTGGGATGAGTGGTACAGGGAAAAGGTCAGCTTTGACAAAGGCAGCTGGTCTGGCAAGCAGAGAAAGTCCCCTCTCACTGCCTGAGCCAGACAACTGGCTGAGTTGTCAGATGCCCTCCAGACTGCACTTGTGGCAGAACTTCCTGGAGCATCCCAGAGGGGCGTTGCTGCCCAGCAGGTGGAGCTTGAGCCCTTGTGGCTTGGGTGTCCTATTAGCCACTGAGGGCTGACATATAAGGCACTCCAAACTGGATGTCCTTGCAGGAAATATTTGTCAGGATGTCTAGGATCCTGGTGTCTCAGGGCTGTGAGAAGCTGTAGCATGCTTCTGTGGTGGCTTGTAATAATTTGACAGCCACCTTTGGCATTTCTTGGTTTGTATCCCTGCCTACACCTTCACATGACATTCTCTTTGTGAGCGTGGCTGTTTCTGTGTCCAGTTTCCCTTCTTGTAAGGACACAGTCGGATGGGATTAGGGCTCAGTCTAATGAGCTTGTCTTAATTTTCCTAACTGCGAAGACCCTGTCTCCAAAGACTCTATTATACTCATAGAACCTGAAGGTTAGGGCTTTACTACCACTTTAGAGGACAAGATTCTGTCCATCACATTCCAGTGAGGTCTGGAGCACTCAGGTTGGATGAGGTAGTGGCTGAATTCTGAGACTGAGAGTTGTGCTCAAAGGAAAGAGACCAGGAGACAGGATAGTCCCAGAAATTCCCCAGGACAGCTGAAAGCAGGGCAGCTGAGGTGGGGAGATTCGAGGGTGGCTTCCGTTCCTCTTGGCTGGTTCCTCTCTTGCCCCTGGCTTTGCTGCACTTCCATCAGAGTTCTTTCTGTTTAGAATAGCTGTAGGACCCAGGCACCATGCAGGAAGCAAATCTCTGTTTTAATTGCCTGTGCAATTAGTGCACTCCTAGTGTTGAAGTCATCACCTGGAAAAGCACTTTGGTTAATTTGAATTTAAGCAGAGTTTTGCAATGACTGGGGGCCCTACCGTGAGAGTCTGGGTACCCTTTCATCATTCAACTGGCTCCTGCTAACCCCGGACTTTGAGAATCTGGCTGCAAAATCTGTTTGCATCTTAGTACCCCATGGCTTCTTCTAGTCATGGGACTGAGGCGAGGAGATCCAGGGTGCAGGCTGTGCCTGCATGGAGAAAGCAGCCTCCTAACTACTGCCAAATCCACCAGGCAACCGGAAATGGAGAGTAAGAAGGAGCAGCAAACCAAAGCTTAGGGTGAGCTCTGAGGAAGCAGAATGTAATTGTCTTGATCAGAATTTTCCTGGGCCACCAGCCAATCCTGCTTCCATCTTGTCCACCTGAGCATCAAGAATTCATTTTTCATCACACTGCCTAAGAGCCCTCTTCCCCTTTTTTGCCTCTTCAAAATCCTTATCAGAACAGAGCACAAAGAAACCACTTTTCTAACTCAGTCTATCTGGAAGTGAAAGAAAGAATGTAGGACTTGTGGTCCGCAGCAGATATCACCGCCCTGAGCAAGAGGTGCTGTGTGTGGGAGGCAGGGGAGGCTGGCTTGGATTTTCTAACCAAGAAGGGATTTCTGACTCAGGCAGTCCCATGAACATTTTAAAGAATAAGTGAAGGAGAAGAAGGGAAGAGAAATGGGCAGAACTTGATTCCTTTTTCCCCAAAGCACACTCAGTGTCTGAGGATCCCAAGACGTGCTTAGTGAAAAATACCAAGGCCATACCCAGGGTGAGGGAGTAGAGTCTAGTACCAGAGCCACAGAGAGAGCTTCACAGAGTGTTTGCCTTCTGCACTTGTTTCCTTTGTGGGAGAGACTTCTGTGTGGAGGGAGCTCTAGCAAGAGACCCGTGGCCTCTCTTTTTTGCTAGGGAAATGGACTTAATGAATGCTGAGTTTTGTGGCAAGGCCCGGGCACAGCCTCTTGACCTCTCTCTCTCCAAGGATGGGTGGATCTCAGGGGTCAAGTATCTAGTCTGAGAAATCTCCATTTCTGCCATGTAGACGTAGTAGCTCAGGGTCACAGTGGCTGTTCAGTGTACAAATACATTTGACTACCACTGAGCTATCTGCTCCAGTCTAGAAGAAAGGTTGGTGTCCATTTGTCTTACTCTTTGACTTACTTATTATGATTTAAAACCCAAATGGAGCAGGGAATGCTAGTTATGAGGCTCCTGGAGGCCCCTGGACTCCATGTTGTGATGGGTTTAGGCTGCATGTGCAATTCTCAGTAGTGTAGGGCACTTGAATTAGTGATTCTTCTATTCTTCAGAAGGTTGTGGTTCTTTGATCTTACAAATACCATCAGTTTCCTTTGATTTGTGAGAAACTTGAAGTTGGCAGAGACATTCTTTGACAGGTGCCCTCCCCAAGGGAGAGAGGCCAAGACCAACAATCTGGATTAGAGACCCAGTTGCTAATCACAGACCTTGTTGATCCAGAAAGTTTGTCAGGAAGCTTGATGTTGCCTGTCCTACTTACCTGCTAGCTGGCCAGAGTGATGGGTACTTTGACAAATCACTCTGAGGTCTGGTCTCTCCTGACTGTTGGATATTCTTTGAGTCCTGACAGCCTGGGGAGGGGGTGGTGGCGGTCATCACAGCAAGGCAGGAAGTATTAATATGCACTTGATTCAGCTTCCTGTGCATGGGAACCTGACCTCCTGTTCCCCTAATGGCTAGTGTGTACAAATAGTGGGTGAGTCATGGATCTCAAGGGAAGGTCCTTCTGGTTGCAGAGGTTGGTTTTGTGCAGTAATAAGGTGAAGCATTTTGCTTGTGCAGTCATAATAGGCTTAGAGCATTTTGACAGCAATTTTCAGAAAGTGGCATAAATTGTCTAGAGGAAGAGGCACCCTTCCTGAACTCTCACAAAATTGCCATTTGGGCTAGCAGTGGGGAGCTTAAATGTTTTTAAGGCAAGCCCATCATTTTGTAAAGGAGAGACTGGGGAGCCACAAGGTGAAGGGACTCACATGGAGGCAGACATGTGGCCAGCAGAACTTGGGTGAGAAGCTGGCCTTCCTGACTGTTTTCCCATTACTCAATGAAGCTGACATCCAGGGAGGCCCCCAATTCTCACATCCTTCTTGTAGCAGCTGTTAGGATGCAGAGACCACTACACTCTCTCAGTCCTTTCACACTCCTGGCCCAGTCTTACCTGTGGCAAACTGGGTGGTCGTAGACTCGCTCTCATTGGTCCCTCGGACTGCGCTGACAGACACCTCATAGTGGGAGCCAGGCCGCAGGGCTTGCACTGAGTATTGGCTTAGGGGAGGCTGCAGCCGGAAGGTGGTTTTCCCACCTTCCCCACCCACTAGCCCATATTTCAGGAGAATGAAATCAACTTTGGCACGAGGAGGTGTCCACTCCACAAAGGCCACAGTATCAGAGACGTCTCGCACCAGGATCTGGGTTGGCCCATCGATGACTGGATAAGAGGGGTCAGAGAGAAGAAAAAGTTGATTGAGAAATAAGCCTTCACATCATTTCTCTTCTTTTTCCCTGACACTGGTTTGGTCAAAGAGAGGATAGATGGAGAAAATGAGGCATAGGAAGATGACATTGGAGCTCAGTTCCCCTTATGCCTGGCCTCAGACTTCTTATTCCAGGCTGTAGCTTTCAGGTGCTAGCACTTCCTCTTGGGGCAGGAGAATGACACTTTCTGGCATCTTTTTCTGGATGTGCTGGGACAGACACTGAGGACAGGGTTTTGGAGTATGTCAGGAGCTCAGCTCTGCCCTTCCTTGAGCTCTGAGGAAATGGCTACCCTCTCTGAACTTGAGGTTTTGATGTGGTTGACAAAAGCAGTGCTTCAAAGTTGTCCCTGTTTAGGGCAGCCAACAAGCTGCTGACTACACCCCTCACCCCAGCAGATGCACCTGCGGACCTGAGAGGTACCTTCTGAGGAAATGTGCTGCTCAGATTAAAAGGGACCCTGGCTTGGGAGTGGCCACTCTGGATCATTTTTTTCCCCTGGTGGCTGCAAATTTTTAAGCCATCAGGGCATAGAAGGCACACACAGGCACTCAGATTCTCCAGGACATGTCCCTCAAGTGCCCCTGTGCAGCAGAAGAGACATCTAGCTGGTCTCCTGTAGGGCCATCAATCATGGCTCCAGCTCCCACTTGGGGTCCTTTCACATTGAGTTATACTGAGTAGGGGAAGTGAGAGACTGTAGACTGAGAAGAAAAAAAGAAAGGGCTTGCAGGGAATAGAAAATGGCATTCTAAACGTCCCATGGAATGTCTGCAGAGCTAATATTCCTGTCTTTAAAAATTGCTCATTACTCACTAAAAGAGTCAGCCTAGACTTTATGTTCACATTGGCTTTGTTACTATAGCCCTTTGGCTAGAGTTTCTCATTGCTAATATTCTTTAAAGATTGGGAATTGGCACTGGAAACCTGGTCCTCTAATTAGCCTGTAGTGGTCCATATGGAAGTAGGCCTGGGGGGGTGGTTCTCTACCAGATTCATATAGAAATGGGCAGCTTCTGGTGGAAGATAAAGAGAGGAGAGGAGAGGAGAGGAAAGGAGAAGGAGAAGAGAGGAGAAGGAAAGGGAGGAGAGGATAGAGGAGAGAAAAAATAGAAGAGGAGGAGAGAGCAGACATAGAAGCAGAAATGAATGGCCATGTGGAACCTCTAGAGAGATATAAAGAGTAATTCACTTCTTAAAGTTCCAGTTTGTGGAGCAAGTCTTTTATGAGGCCCACATGAATTTCTGGTTTCCATGAGATGTTCTATGTCCTTCCAGGAAATTCTCTCTTGCTTAGTCTAGGTAAAGTAAGTTTCTCTTCCTTAATACCTTGGAGTGTTAGCTAAGCCTTGTTTTTAACCAGCATTTCTGGGACCACTTTCTACTTTGTCTCGGGAAGGGTCTATCCCTCAGTACTGTTGCCAGACCAAAATGAAAATCACCAGACCATTTTGGAAACATTTGGTTTGGTGTTGAAACAAGCCCTGCTTTTCATATTTGAGGCAGTCATGCGATATAATAGGAAACACTCAGACTACTACTCTTCAGTATGCTGTGCTCAGTGGCTTGAGATAAGTAGGACCTTTTAAATCTTATTTAATTGAATTATAAGATGGGGAGTAGCTTCCTCATTGTGGGAGAAGCTTGGTGCCTGAAATGAAGTAGTCAGTGAGTGTGACGTGGATGAAATGACTGGATGAGCCTCTTCATGCGTGAGGAGGAAAGGGCAGAATTTCAGTGAACTGGAGCTTTAGAAAAAAAAAAAAAAGTCATCAGGAAAGGCTCCAATGGCCACATGAAGCTTTTGTCCTTCACCATTTTAGATCCCCAAACCCTGTTCATAATGGATTGACCACATTAGCACATGATTATGTAGCACAGAGGGCTCTAGCTGCAGGAGGCCTTGTATTTGCATTCACAAAATGGCCTGTCTAGAAAAAGCGGTCTGAGTACGGATCAGGACTCAGCACTTCACAGGAGGGGATTGGTGTAGGTCAGATTGTCATAGAAGGAAATAAACAATTGTTTCCTAAAAAGGGCAGATGGAGTTGGGAGCCAGCCATTCTTTCTGTTACCACTGTGAGATTCTGCCTTTTGTTTCGTCACTTGGTAGGAATGTCCTAGTCCAATCAATAAAATCTTGGCTTGCTTTCCAAACAAACATAATCGCTATTCATAAAGTAAGCTGGAATTTATGTGTTTCTTTTTTCCATGGCTACCATATACAAAGCTTAAAATAGGAATTTATGTTTCCTTAATTGAAAAACATACTGCCAGGTTCTACCAAAGCATCTGAAAGCTTTGCTTTTGATCTCAAGGGACCTCCCCCTAATATTGCAAATTTTATGAAATTGTAATTTGGGTGTAAGACTAAGCCCAGGTTGCATGCCCTTCTTTAAGTACTTCCAATTCTAGGGAAGAAAAATCTTCAATTGCCATGTTCTCTCTCTTCTTGTAAACAATCTCCTTCTAGTATTCTTTTCTCTGCTGATGATTCTCAATTTCAAGTCACAATAATGACTTGGGGATCTTCAGCCTGTCCATAACCAAAGTGGAAAATCCACGCTTGTTTTCAAATGTCAGTTCTGCAGGTTCCAGCATAACCTTGCTGAGGAGCTGTGTGCCCTGGCCATTCCTGAGATCCCTGCAGAGCATGGTAGAGTTTAGGCCGTGGTGTTTCCTCTAAAGCATTTTTGGATTAGGATAGTGATTTTTAAAGGCTTTTCTTTTTGAGTGAAACTTATTTTTTCAGGAACTGAATCTTAAACAACTTTCCCAAGTGTAAAATGCTTGGGCTTGGAGCTGCCCTCACCAGCACCTTGGAGAGAGAATAATTCGGGGTGTGGCTCTCCACCAGATCCTGGCCTCAGGGCACAGCCGTGGAGCTTTGGGATGGGACAGGCACACAAGCTGGTGCCATGGTGGCTTTAGCCAGTTTTCCTGGGCTGAACATGAGCCCCAGCACCCAGTGTTATGTAGCTTGTATAGAAATAGCAGAGGGTAAATTCCTACTCCATAAACATGGTCTAGCAACACTGTTTTTGCACCTATCTCAGTTTTTGTCACTAACAAGAAAAGTTGCTTAGAAAAGAAAAGTCTTACTCAGCTGTTTTATCAATAAGTTGAAAGGCAAAAATTAATACCATATGCTATATACTTCAAAGTTTTGAGAAATTTTTGGTGAAAACACATACATATCCTTTACAATGGCTAATTTGAAACATGGAAGGTGAAGGTCCCTTGTTAGCTACGGGAACAATATGGCCAGATATGACACGGCTAATGCCTTAGTCCTGTACATGTGATCTTGAATGAAGTGCACTGTGGGAATGAAATAATAACTTGCCACCTTTACTTACTAGTTTTAAATGGTTTATCTTCTGTTGTTTTTACTTTTAAGCATGTGTTCTGGGTAGCTTTGTGTACATCATGTTAAGCACTTTTTCTTATCTGCACAGCGCTAATCACTTCGTGAACTCCATCTGTTATGGGTTGTGTCTAGTTGGCCCCCCAAAGCCTCATGCAGTTATGGGGTAGAGATCTCTAGAGTTTGAAACTAGCTCATGATCCACTGGGATTATGGGTTTTAGTACGGCTGAGATTATGGGTTTTAGTACTGCTGGGATTATGGGTATGAGTGTTACTCCCAGCCTAGAGTGATAGCCTGAATGTAATTTAAGGGAGGGAAACTACCTCTCTGTAGCCACTGTTCTCTGTTGCCATCGTTGCTGCTGCTCCTCCCTTGGCTCCTCTTGCTCTTTGCCACCACCGTGAACAGATGCTTTCTGCCCTGTGCCTCTCTGTCTTGGAGCCAGCTGAGTGTGGGCTGAAACCTCCAGCAATGTGAACTGAATAAACCTTTCCTTCCTTCATTTTGGGTGTCAGGTATTTGTCCCAGCAACGAGAGAAGAGTAACTGAGACACTATCTAATTTAATCTTTATATCATGTCAATGAAGGTGTTACACAAAACAGATGTACTGAGGTCTGATAGAATTTATCTGACTTGTTCCAAATCTCAAACTAGGCAAGACTGAGTCAACTCTTGTTGGTCCCAAGGCTAATGACATGAGGGGGCTGACAAAAGAGGCCGCTTGGTGAATACTATCAGAAAAGTCTTCACAGATTTTCCACCATGGGACACTCTCCCAGGTTTCTCTGCTTGCTGGTCTAAGCACTGAGCAAGATGGGCAGCTAGGCATCTGGTGGAGGAGATCCTTCTCTGGGCCCCACATTGCCTCAGCTCACCTCTCTTTCACTCTCTACTCTCTGGGCAGCTCTGCAGTTGCTTTTCCTGAGTGATGAACTGTGCAGCCCTAGAGGAGGGTCGGAGGCACTCACCTGTGGACACGCTGGCTGAGGTGGGAGGGCTGCGTGCTTGCTCTTTCAGAGCTACCACGTTGACAATGTATTCCTCCCCAGGTTTTAGTCCTGTCTGGTTGAAGGAAGTGACATCGCTGGGGAGCTGAGCAATCACTCCTCCTTCATTGTTCTGTAGAGTGGGGAGAAGTGAAGAAAGCAAAGGAGCAAAGTCACCAAGAGAGAATCGCCTGAGAGGAACATAAAGGTGTAGAGCCCTGACTGTGAGCAGGACATAGAAATCAGGGCTATGTCTACAGCCTCTGTACTAACCTGAGTTTTCTGAGTTTGCCAATAAAAATTAACCATGAGGAGATATAGATGAGTGCTTGCCAAAGATTAAATGTTCAATGGTTACGGATAGCATCAGTCATTTTTGGGGGCACTTATTGTGATGAGTATGCCCTTCACTATTTAGAAGAGTATAATTGTGTGTTTATGTGTATAAACATCTTTCTATGTACACATTACATATTTTAAGCTAAGACATTTTCAGAAACTTTTTTAATGAGCTGCAGCTTTTACTTTGCTATACCTGGAATTTCTCATGGTGCTACATTGGGTATTAAATCTGTCATTGTCTAGTTTCCTCTCTACCCAGATGAGTTAAGACTCAATGACACAACCATAAATTACAAAGAAAGGAAAAAGGAAGCAAAGAACCAGGAATATTACAAAGGAGAGAGGAAAGAGACAAACTAGTAGAGGAGGTATGGAGAAATAACAACTTAATGATGTTGGGTCCAGGGTCAGTCAGTCAGTCTGTCTGTCTGTCTGTCTGTCTGTCTGTCTGTCTGTCTGTCTGTCTATTTATCTATCTATCTCATACATGCCATCTATATTTTAATCATTCATTTTTATCTGTATCCTTGGAAAGAGAGGAGAAATTCCTGTCTGTGACACTATCCTTCTTCCCTATTCTTTGGACTATATGTCATTCAGAAAATGTCCTGTATAGAATTTATAGCTGTACTCTTACTAATCAGTGTGATAAATGTCCCTGGTGACTTCACCCTATAGGTTACAATAGTTATTCCATGTGGCCGTATATTTGATCTTGGCACACATTGACCATCACCTTTCTTATTTAGAGCTTTACATATTGCGAGCAAAACAAGACAGCATGGCATAACTCTGCTTCAGTAGCAGAGTGGCATGATTCTCTCTGCCTCTCTATAAACCCAGTTGCTTGCCATTTTTCTTGGTCATTTTAACTCAGACGAGACATGCAATAACTAACAGGCCTAAAGCCCATATTTAGGTATAGTAAACTTGCCGTCATATGACTACATCTATGTAAGAGAAGGAAGCATCTTGGTACAGTGGACAGAGCCCCAGAATAGGAAGCTGAGACTAAGGATTTTGTCTTCAGCCTGGCTGCGAGTATATGATATCGTTTAAGTTCTCTGAGTCTTAGTCTCTATAAAATAAATTTAAAATTAAAGGTCTTTTGTAGCTCCAAAAGTCCATGGCTCTAAGAATTTTGGAATATAAGAATTCATAAAATCAGTCTAGTTAGGTTGGCATTTTTGTCTGAAAGAGAAGTCCTAACTCATTAAGCATCTTGTTTTCAAATTCACAGAAATTATGTTTCTCCGGATTCTGGTGCTACCTCAACAGAACACTTGCACTGGAGGCTGTTTCCTACAACCCTTGTTATCAAAGGCCAAGGTGCTGTGTTTGGAGCCACTCTTGTCAGTCAGTCCTCAGGTCCTTGTGAAAGAAGATTCTGAGCCTAAAAACTCAGGAAATACTGTGTGTGTGTGTGTGTGTGTGTGTGTGAGAGAGAGAGAGAGAGAGAGAGAGAGAGAGAGAGAGAG